GCAAATAACGAAATGTGCTACTCTTCCACGCAAAAATCTGAAATGTGCTACTTTTCGACGCGAATAATGAAATGTGCTAGTCTTCCACGCTAATAGTGAAATGTGCTAGTCTTCCACGCGAATAGTGAAATGTGCTACTCTTCGTAGGGACCGACGATATGGTGTAGCGGAAACGGGATCGCGAGAGCCCGACGCAGTAGGCGCGCGGTCGTTTACATGCTGTTTAGCGCGAACATTTGAAGAAAATGACGAAGTAAGTAAATGAGACGAAACAACAGAAACCGTCGTGTCACATTTAAAACAAGATATTAAACTCGACATTACAGACAAAGAATATTTGAACGCATTTGATAAGTTAAAACAATTAATAACAAATGACCCTGTTCTTAAACGCCGGGTTTTACAAAAAAAATTGTTTTAACAACTGACGCATCGCAATTTTCGATTGGCCCAGTTTTGTCACAGGATAATCATCCCATTAGCTATGCTTATAGGACATTATCTAATCACTAAATTCGATACTCCACCATAGAAAAAGAATTACTCGCAGTTGTCTGGTCAATTAAGCATTTTCGTACATATCTTTATGGTAGGAAGTTTATTGTACAAACGGATCACAAACCATTGACATGGCTTTATAATATAAAGGAGCAAAACATGAAGTTACAAAGATGGAAGATACAATTAAACGAGTATGACTTTGATATTACGTATATTAAAGGAAAGGACAATACGGTCGCAGATGCTTTGAATAGGTACTTACAAAGAAATAATAAAACTGAAAATTTAGCTGTTTTTAAGAATGAAATTAGTGCTAATAATAATGACGACGACATGGATACATGGACTAGAACGTTTTATTACAAAGATAATAAATAGTAAGTGTCAAAATTATATAATTATCACAAAAAACTCGGATCTAAAAAAGTTAATGGAAAAAGTATTAGTTGACAAAGGCTTTATGTGTATTTTTTGCGGAGATGACGGTTTATTTATAAGGTTTCAGGAAATCTACGTTAATAATTTTAAAAATAATAAGTTTAAAACGAAGTATTAACAATTATTAAAAATTAACATACGCGAAATAATCATAGAGGTATTAATGAAATATTTTTCGAGCTAAAATCCAAAATATTTTACCCTAAGATATTTGAATTAATTACGTTGGTAGTGTATAATTGTAAAATTTGTCAAATTGTAAAACATGACAGACATCCCATCAAATTTCCTTATCAAATAAGTGAAAGTCCAACACATTATATATGGTATCCGTCCAGAAATTGTATGTGTCTGACCACAATTGACAAATTTTCAAAATATGCGACATACCACAAATTAAATGACAGAACATGGATTTCGATTTTAGAAGCATTAAAGAAGAGAATTTCGTATTTAGGCAAAATGAATAAACTTATTTTCGACAATGAAAGTTGTGTATTGCATAGCGCAGTAGAGCTCTTTTTAAATGAACAAAACATACAAACTCACAAAACAACACTTTACTTAAAAACAGGCAACTCTAATGTTGAAAGGTTGAATGGCACACTTAACGAATATTCACGAATCATGGAAGTTGATAAAACAGATAAATCTCTCAGCCTGGATGATAAAATTTTCAAAATATTTACATTATATAACTGCACAATCCATACAACGACACAGAAGAGGCCAATCGATTTCTTTCAAAAAAAAATTTGGTAAAGAATATATTGAAAAATTGAGTAAAGAATACGAGCAAAATAAAATTAGTAAAATAAATAATAAAATAGAAATAGAAACAAAGAATGCAGTTATTTAGATAATACTGTTAAAAATAGACAGATTACTAAATGTACGCCAAAATACAAAGAACTTAGTAACTACAACAAAGAAGGCAATTACATAACTGATACATCAATTAAAAGAAAAACTAGATATTACAAGTCTCAATTGAAACGTAAATATAAAGGGCAAAACACAGAAATTATTTTGTTGAAATATGTGAAGAAAAAAAATGAATATAAAATAAACACAAAAATTATAATAATGATAATGATAATAATTTGTAAATAAGTATTTAGTAATAAACAAAAAATTGTTTCCTATGTTTCAACATTTTATAGAAAAATTAAGTTATTAATTGTTAACATTTGCGGAGGCGCAAATATCTTGGGGGTGGAAGAGTTATATATTAACACACTTTCTCCCACCTATTGCTTCTCCCATCTACTTTTCATTATTCTCTTAGTTTATAATTCATCATTCTTACTCTCTTCATTCACACTCCAAGTCGAGCTGTCTTTCATCAACCGTTATCTTTAGTTTTAGTTTTAAGCTTAATTAGTCGTTAAGAAAAATGTATAGTTTAGTTGAGAAATAAAGGTGATGCCGGTCAAAAGCAGATCCACTCTTTTATTATATTGAAAAGTAAAAGTAAAAAACACGCCTTAAAAGGTATTAACCGTTATTTTACGTTTAAAAACTTTAAGATTTTAAAACATTACCACTCTATACCCTATACCCTATATGTGCTTGACCATTGAACTAAATCGTTGTTTATTTGGGTAAAATTAAAATATATTTTACTGTTCAATATTGGAGTTGGCGTGAAACAAAAATTAATAATTTATTGTTAGTATGTAAATTAGAACTACAATTATGAGCTTATTGTGCATCTCTCTTTCAAAAGCAAAGGCAGTTTTGCTTGATCAAGTTTCGAATCTAAGAAGAAAGTGTTTTTAAACAAACAAAAAGATAATAATAAAATTTGAAGGATTTTAGATATTGCGTATGGTAGCATGAAATGCCACAATCTTCTTAATTGTCAGGTTGTTGATTTGGCGACGAAAAAGTGACAGTGGAACTACCTCCTTTTTGTATCATGGAAACACATAGCTGAAGATTTCATACTTACAGTGGGATAAACTTCAAACCTCTAATATAAGTTTTCGTTCGGAATAATTTTCATAAACTTATCTATTAAGAGATCTCTTTGGAAAATTACCGTACATCCGATATCCATTGAAATTTTGACATCCTCACTTTTTGGAAACAGAAGTTCAAGATACAAGTTTAAGTGCAAAAAATTAATTAAACGCTAAAAGTCATATAATAGAAAAATGTGTATGTCATTACCCAGACTTTATGAATTGCCTACCCTATAAGTAATAGCAGAAATTCCGAATTAGTAAGTTCTGTCAAAACGTCATTCAAAAGTTTTGAAGAAAATCACTTTTCTCTTTTGTGAAAATTTGGGACTATCTTATTCGAGAATTGTTGGCAAAATGTTAGTCTGATGAATGATTAAGAATTAAGAAATAAATAGTTAATCGCGATTAATGATTAAAATTAATTAAGCGATCGCTGTGATGTAGTGGTTAGAAGTGCGCACTACCATTCCGCAGGGCGAGGGTTCGAGCTCAGTTTCGGGGAACATAGAAAAAGCTGTTTTTAATAGCCCCCTTTGTGTAATGACATCAAGGCGCATGCCATAATATAATTATCGTTAATCGTCAATACAATTTTAAATTACATAAACTCAGTTACATCACTTTTTTGTATTCGACGCTTCCAGGAATCGCGTAATACTTACATAAAAAAAAATTAAATCAGTTTTGGTTAATATTACATAAACTGGAAACTGTTAAAAATCTGTGTTCATATGGAATAGTAGCTTATGTCGAAAGGCTGGCTTTAGTATAATGCGGCATTCGCAGCATATGATTGCGAATGACTTACTGGCACCGAGCCGTTGAAGAAATGTTGGCAAATAAACGTTCCGATACTAGTAAGTCAATATTCTTATTAAGTTCCATCAAAAAATTCCTTGTCGTATAATAAATGTAATAATTATGAATGTACATATAATAAATAAAAAATAATAAAATGTCGTATAATGTCATAGAATTAAGGGAATGCCGGCCTTTCGACATAAGCTACTATTCCATATGAACACAGAAATAATCCCGCTTGTGTACACAGATTTAGTTCCCAAAATGTCTGTTAGCAACAGATAACAATAAAATTGCACATTAAATTGCTAAGAGTGATGACGAAAATCGATTCAGATATGCCTGCTTAGCTGGCCGTGCGTGCATAAAACAAGCAAAAGGTCATTAAGGGGCTATTCAGGTATTATGTAACCACCAGTGGGAAGTGGGGGTCTGTGGTTCTTCATATAAAACATTAATTACACACGCACAAATTTGCGTGCCTGCGATTCGATCACAATTGAACACTGCACTTCACCCTCGTTTCGAATTTTTAAAAGCGTTTTTTAAGATATTTAGTGGTTTAACACTTCTTGGAGGCGCTAGGTGTTGTAAAAGCGTTTTTTAAGCTATTAAGTGGTTTAACACTTCTTGGAGGCGCTAGGTGTTGTAAAAAAAAATATGCGCAATTCGATCCCTAACTATATTTTTTTGTAAAGAACGCCCGTTTGCTTTAAATTTGTAAAATTACAATTATTTTTTTAATTTGCTTACATCTGTTATTTGTTACAAATAAAGAAAAGTCTAAGAGTTACCAAATATAAACATTTTTATATCTATTGATTAAAATAATAATTTTCAATAATAATTTATTTAATTAATACTTTGTTAAAACGCAAATTTTAAGTCCTAATGTATTTGTAAAACTATTTATCACAAAATGTTGTTAATTGTTTGCAAGCGTACTATAGTTTTCATGCATTTCGAGAACAAATATCGAGTATGTATATATACATACATATGTATAGCATGTACTTACGGCGGCCGCCGTAGCAGAGTGATTACATGTCTACTTCCACTCCATAGGACCATGGTTAGATCCAGCGTTGCCATTTTAGCCGTTTTTCGGCTAGATTTAGCCGGTTTTGATAGCAACTAGCCGGAGAAAATTCGATCTAGCCGGCAGCCGATTTGTTAGCCGGTTTGTAAAAAAAAGTTAGCCGTTTTTAGCCGATTTTACTATTTGCCTAATTTTCAGGTGCAAAAAGTAAACAAGTTGTTCGAAAGCAATAATGCAGACCCAATGAAGATTTTTAATGAACTCAATGTTTTACTTTCGCATCTATGCTCCCTAGTGGTTATTAGCGCGGACACATTTGATCCTATATGCTCCCCGTTGGAACCATACCTTGCTCCATTTCCTCAGTTTTATCACAGTTTTGAAGAGTATTTAAAAACAAAAGTAAGCACAAACGCTTTTGACCACGAAGCCGAGAAAATAATTCGAGAAAATGGTCGCTATTTTATTATCACTTTAATAAAGGAATTACGCCAACGCCTCCCTACAAATATTGCCACACTAAAAAAAATTGACTTTTTTCGGTTGGAAATGCATTAAGAGTAATTAAACCAAAAGTATTTGTTCAACTACAGCAACAAAAACACAAATATAATGCCGACGAAATAACATCCATAGAGATGCAATGGCAACGGTTAACGTTACATACCTGGAGTAATTTAGACTCAACTGTAAAATTTTGGGCCGAAGTTTATCAATTTCGAAATGCCCTAGGAGAAAACCCTTTTGCTGACCTTTGCAACCTAGTTTTTAGTTTTCTTGTTTTGCCTATAAGTAATGCAGAAGTAGAGCGAATATTTAATAATAATAATAGATTGACGCTTACACATATGTTAGTGTTTGGCCGAGCTTCTCCTCCGATTTGTGGAGTGCGCCTTGATGTTGTCACACAAAGCGGAGGGACCTACAGTTTTACGCCGACTCCGAACGGCGATTATATTTTTATGAGAAGCTGTTTTTCATGGCAGAAATACACTCGTAGGTTTGCCATTGCCTGCCGAGGGACGACCGCTGTTAAGAAAAGTCCTTTTTTTCTATATTTTTGCGATGTATTTAGTTCAATGAATATAATAAAAACTAAGCAAAGAAATCCAATGTGCGTTAAAACGTTAAACGCTATTTTATATATTAGATACGGTTTAAAACGTGAAGAAAAATGCTGCCATAATTTTACTGTAGATGACGATCTCTTAAAATTAATGAATTCAGGTGATATATAAAATAGTGATTCATTTGATGATGAGGAATATACACTCGAAATAAATTAATGGTGTTAACTAGTCTTTCGTTTCTTGCGATTTATTTAAATAAAGCAAAATTTTCACTAAAACATTTTAGCCGTTTTTTGTCAGAGTCTATGTGAAATTTCACTAAAACATTTTAGCCGTTTTTAGCCGCTTTTTTTTTGCCAATCTAGCCGGTCGGCCCAAAAAGTTCTGGCAACACTGGTTAGATCCCTGGTCAGATCATAACCCAAAATAGCAGTCGTCCTTCGGCACGCAATGGCAAACCCTTGAGTACAT